TCACAGACAAAACATTATTTATCAGGCAGAAATTAATTTTCCTACAGTCTTTCATTCTTAATTACCTGAGAACGTGCAGGACTCTGTGAAAATCAGATCAATAACAATGGTACTTACTAGAGACAATTAGCTTGGTTCCCGTGCCAAAGTACTTGATCCAGGTGCTCCACACCATGTTTTGACTTTGCAATAAGCCATCGTGTTCTCTTGCTGTGCCAATGCTGAAGAAAATCCCATTTTTTTTTTCCCACTCAGCCCCAGGAGATGTAGTGAAGGCCTGGCTCTTGGCTGCTGGGAGGATGTCACGGATTTCAGATGTGCACCTGGTTGTTCAGCTGATACCTAATGCCCTGTGGAGCAAACCACTTTCCTAAAGTGTTGCAAATTTGTTAGATAACTCCACCACTTAATGCCTAAGAATTAGGTAAAGGTTTCTCTTCAATTTTAGACATGCAAATAGGTGCACAGGGTTGTGCATGTTAAAAAACACATACCTTCAGGTGATGATCCTGCTCTTTCCCAAAGGGGTGCACCCCTTCTCACCTGCCATGGTGTCATCAAGTAGTACTAGCATGGAGTTCATTTTTAGTTGTCTTACTACAGTTCAGCAGAGGGAAAGGGGGGAGAGCCAGCACCATAAGCATCACAAAGGCATCTGTGTGCTGCACGTTGCATTTTCTGCCCCCGGTACATGGCGATTGTCTGCCCATCTCCTGGAATGACTCCAGGCTCTGCAACAGCAGCTCACCAGCAGCTTTTCATACACTAGCTGGTGGGAGAAGGAGGCTTTTCCTTTGCACATGGGTTTCTTATAAAACAGACAAAGATAACATCAGAGGAGTCACCGTTACGGTTGATCAAACATCCTCCGTGTTTAGTTTGCCATGTAAAAGAAACTGAATTTGAGTGCTTCTGGGACCTTGTGTGGCATACCAATGTGACCTATGTGACCATACAATGGGACCTTGTGCAAAACAATGTTAAGAAACTACGATTTGTGGCTAAAGGGAGGAACTAAACTGAGAGTGAAGATCTTTCAACTGAAGTAGGTATAAGAAAAGCAATTATCTACTCTGAAGGCTCCTGGGCAGGAACATCATAATCGCAACCACAAAGCAATGGAAAGATTGATGTAGACAGAGGATGGTGCTGACCAATGTTTTTCCTGCCATGTCCTTAGACACACAGCAAAGGAGGCCACCACCATCTCACCTGCATTTGCTGGGACTGTTGGATTATGCTCATGACAGTGAGCAGCTAGGAGGTCTCATTAGAAGAAACAAAGTGAAACACTACATATTGCAGACAGCTTGTCTAACTCCCCTGTAAGATCTGGGCTTGCAATATGAGAAGGATGAAACTGAACTATAGCCATTTGGAAACCTAATATACATTTGAAATTGTTGTGTCACTTTTTCATCCCATCAGACTAATATTCTTTAATGAGTTACACTTCAATGAACCAAATGAGGAGGGTATCAGCGTACCACAGTAAAGCAAAATATTAGGGAGAGGCTTCATGGTAGAGAAAAACCTCTGTGAATGAATTTCTCAGGCATGAGTGTCAGCACTCACCCAGAGGCTGTAGCTAGGAGGGGATGCATTGTGTATGAGAGCCATGATGATGATTCGAGGGCTAGAGCACCTCTCCTATGAAGACAGGCTGAGAGACTTGGGTTTATTCAGCCTGGAGAAGACTCCGGGGACTTCTTATAGCAGCTCTCCAGTATCTGAAAAGTGCCTACAAGAAAGCCAGAGAAGGACTTTTTACAAGGGCATGTAGTGAAAGGACGAGGGGTAATAGGGTCAAACTGGAAGAGGATAGATTTAGAATAGATATTAGGAAGAAATTTTTCACAATGAGGGTGGTGAGGCACTGGAACAAATTGCCCAGGGAAGTTGTGGAGGCCCCATCCCTGGAAGTGTTCAAGGCCAGGTTGGATGGGGCTTTGAGAAACTTAGTCTGATGGAAGGTGTCCCTGCCTATGGCGGGGCAGTTGGAACTTGATCATTGAAGTCCCTTCCAACCTAAACCATTCTATGATTCTATGAGACATAAATATGAAAAGTTGTTCTTAACTATGGAAAGCTTTTCTCTTTGATACTTGCTTTAGTAACTCTGTTTCCAACTTTTTGGCTGATTAAGATGCAACACCAGTGAAACACAAACAGTGAACAGCAAGAAGATTGGGAAAGGAACTGATACAACTCAAAAATAAAAAAACATCAGAACTGCTCACCTCCAGATCTCAGGAGGAATACATAGAAAATTTTCCTCCTCCAACTACTACCAAATTTTAAGCAAAAATAACACTCCTTCTCCTTTGCTTAAAATTTTGGAAACCTTCAAGCTAAAGCTCTCTATGTTCCATGTTCTTTCTCAGGCCAAACCCTTTGAAGAGTTCCTGTACCATGCGCTGACCTATTTCCCAGAACAACACCACCGAATCATGACCCCTTTCCATTACAACTAGTTTGCTGACATACTGGAGCAAAAAGGAGAAGGTGGAATGGAGAGGATGGGTTAGGTATTGCACCTCCACCGTTCCCTTTGCACTGTGCAGCTGCTCAGTGGACATCTCTGTCTTGTGGCAGCTGATGCTTCCAAGGTGTTGGTCAGCACCGAGCATGTCCTGCTTCTCCAGAGCCTGTGCCTGAGGCCAGGCAGCTCATCCCCGCTAGGAGATGTGAGGTGGGATCTTTCAAGTTGTTTGTGGTTGAGACGCTGAGGGAGTATTTGTCTCGGGGATCTCAGAGTTCCTGCCACGGTGACGATGCCAGTAGGCGCAATAGTAGGTAGCAGTGTCATCTGGAATGACATCAATTATCGTAAAAATACACAGTTTCTGTCTAGAAACTTTTTCAACCCTGTACCTGTGTGCTTGGAAGCCCGCATCTACTGTTGTTTTCCCTGCAAAGTAGAGAATTCTCTGTGGACCATTATTCGCCTTCTGTTAATACCAGTGTATGCGGGTGCCATCAAAATTTCCAGAGACTTGTTTGAAATGACATTCCAAGCGTACACTGCCTTTAGACTTGGTGATGGACAGAGGGCTCTGCATGGGAATTTCTTGTGCAAATCCATCTAGAGAAAAAAAAAAACAAACAGAGGAGAAATGATGCCGTCTGGTGGAATTCAGGGCTTTGGGAAGGTGCCTGTTAGCAGAGCCCTGTGTGCCTGTGAGGAAAGGTAAGGAAGTAAGGAAGGACTTACAAGACCAAGCGGCGGTGGCCACAAGCGCTGCCAGCAGCAGCATGTTTGCTGTCACAGTCTGCTGTCGTTGAGAGTCAGGAGAAGGAAACCAGCCCTGGTGCAGACTGAGCAACACTGCATGGGAGGAGGGGACTCCCTCAGATGGCAGCTGGTGACACTGTGTGTCAAGCTAGAGGAACGTGTTCCCTGAGCTCCTGAGGGGAGCAGTGGGGACAGAGGAGTAAGTGAAGGGGAGGGGAGGGGAGGGGGAGACTCCTCGCTGCATGGAACTTTCCTCTGTGTTCTGTGGATGGCTGTTGTGAAGTTTGGGAAGTGCTGGTCCCCTTTGAGACATCCGGAGTGTGCTAGAAGTTGTGAAACCACTGGAGATGGGTCTCTTAATGGTCCACATCAATTTTACTATCACAAAATGGGCATAGTGATGCCATATGGTCCGACGAGATGGGGTGTGGTTCAGAAAGATTTCTGACACCGTGACAGGACTACGAGGGAAGGGTCCCTGAGAAAAACATCAACGCTGACTGCAGCACTGCAAGTACAGTGGTGATGGATGCTGGTAGCCACTGCAGACGGAAGGCAGAAAACAACAAAATATAAGGAGGATTCACTGAACTAAGAGGAGACTCCTTGGAAAACTGCCGTGAGACCCTATAAATAAAGACAGCATGTGAGAGTACCAATTCCTGGCTGAGAGCTGTGCATCCCACCACTGACTAGCCCTGAAGGTACCAACGGGATTCAGTGAAATCGGTGAGCGCTTGGGTGCTTAACTTCGCTTTGTGTTTAAGCCTTTCTGGTGTTCAGTGTTTATTTGCACCTAGTCTGATCTTCTTTCTAAAGTCCCATAGCTCATTCAGGGTGATGGTCCAGCATTCCAGGTATCCAATTAAACCCTTCATCAGGAAAAGAAATGCTGAGGAGTAGGCACATAGCTAAAGGCTAAAGGCACAAGGTGAAGTCATTCCCCTCAGGCTCTTCTTTGAAATGCTTGCTGTGCACAGGGCCTTAACTCACTGCAAATTTGAAAAAAGGCCATCAGAATCGAGAGTTTCAACACATCTCCTACCTTCCAGAAAAACCCTGTTTATCCAATTTGCCTTAACAGGAAATGAAAGAAGAGGGTGGTTATAAGCAGCACATCATCAGCTGTGGTAGGTAAGAGACTGTAAACCTTGATTTAAATTGCTCCGTGTGGGATTTTGTGGTATCCAAATTAGGTCAACCATATTTCCAGGGACTTACAGCAGCTCACACGGAGGGCAACGAAGACTATAGTGGGGACCATGGAAAGCTTTTTCTTAGAAGTGCTAGGCGGTGGCAAGCATACCGTTCCCACCACCAAGGTACCTCCTTCAGCGTGTTGTCGCTCTTTTACTGCCTTCTCTTTGCTAGGGGAGAGCAGTGGCTGGACTAGAAATTCAATGCAATGTTTGCTCCCCTCAAAGGCCAGCAGACTTCTGCCACGGCTATGCAAACAGCACCAAAGCAGCAGGTGGGTTTCCAGTGTTTATGTGCTAATTCTTAAGGCAGTGAAGACTTCCTTTGTCCTTAAAAGAGTAGATGTGTGTTTGAAGACTGGAGTGATAATGACCACGCAGACTTTGAAAAGGAGAGTTATGCAGGGTTCGCTGCTCTTTTTGGGTAGCAGGAAAAGGTTTGGCCTTTCTGCAGCTGATACCAGATGGAGCGAGAAGATCAGGGGAGTTGCACAGTTACAACCCTGTGGTTCAGACGTTGAGGGATGGGTTTTTTGCCTTGATGATCTTTGAGTTTCTATCACAGTGAGGGTCCCAGTAGGCGCAGTAGTAAGTAGCAGCGTCGTCTGGAATTACATCGTTTATTGTAAGAACGCACCGTTTCTGGCTAGAAACTTTTTCAACCATGTACCTGTGCGCTTGAAAGCCACTTTCAACTGAAGCTTTCCCTCCTGAAAAGAACAGGAGCCTCTCTGGAGCATTACCCTCCTTTTGTTGATACCAGTGTATGGGGGTGCCATCAAATTTATCCCCTAATGATTGAAGTTCACATGTCATCCGTGCACTTTTTTGGAACTTGGTGATGGATACAGGGCTCTGCACGGGAATTTCTTGTGCAAATCCGTCTAGAAAAAACAAACAAACAAAAAAAACAACAGAGGAGAAATGATGCCATTATGTGGAATTCAGGGCTTTGGGAAGACGCCTGTTAGCAGAGCCCTGGGTGCCTGTGAGGAAAGGTAAGAATATAAGGAAGGACTTACAAGACCAAGCGACTGCAGCCAAAAGTGCTGTCAGCAGCAGCATGTTTGCTGTCACGCTCCGCTGTCTTTGAGAGTCAGAGGAGTGTGAAAGGGACCCGAGATGGGGACAATGTTGTGTGGGAGGAGCAGGTGACTCTCTTGAGGAGTCTTCCGCAACAGATCTTCTGTGCGCAAGCAGATGGGCACATTTGCAGAAAACTCTCCCAAGTCTAGACAAAAAACCTAAAATGTCTCTACACAAAAAGCTCATGGTATTGTGGGGATGGTTCCTCTTCTAACAAGTCAATGCTGTAGCATCTGGCAGCAGTTTAAGGGAATGGCTGTAGGTGCTGTCCCACGCAGCGCAGTGATACCATCTGCTGACTTGGTTGTCCAACTCGTGCACCAACAGCATGCAGGTGTCTTTGCTTGTGTAGATGAGACATTTCTCTGGGGGGAAACCTGTATTCCAATTAATATCAGAGCTAGAAAGGGTGCTATAGACCAGTGTCTCTGGGTGGGGAGTGTGTCCCAGGTGACATTTGGTAGCCGTGGAGGTAGGTGAACTGTGACCCTCCAGTTACTCTGCAGGTAAATTGGAGAGTGTCTTGTGGGAGTGGCTGGGCTGGGCTGGAGACTGGCTCCTGGTGCAGGTGGAGGGCCCCGAGCACACCTGGAAGGAGAGGATGCATGAGGGATGAGGCTGCAGCAAGAAATCCTCATCCCTGGGGACATGGGGGCATCCTCAAAGCACTAATATCTTGTCCTTGAGGAAAAGGGCCTCAGCTCTCCTCCCTGCTTCTCCTGGCAAAGGCACATGGTGCTGCACAGTGTGTGGGCCGTATTGCACACATTTCTCAGGCATCGCATAGGAAAATCAAGCCATGTGTCCACGAGTCATCTGCAAAGTGTCATTTGAGCTTGGGACTTGGGTAATAGGACATTGCTGATAGTAAACTGCGTGATTAGGCTGGGGGACAAAGGCAAGTGTGACATAAAGCCAAGAAGAAATATATTCTGACACCATTAAGAATAATTAACACATACAAACCTTACTTCCAAGGCAAGAGACAAGTTTGGAGGGTTTTCAAGAAGCCCATCATATTTCTTAGTTCTGCCACAGCTCCTTGGAAAAGGAAATTCAGAGATGCTGGGAGAGTTCAACCCTAAGAGAGACAAAGACATTAAGAAATAGACTGATACCACCAAAAAGAAGCAAAAGACTTGGTGAAGAGACAAGGGATGTTTTTTTACAGCGTTGGCTTAATTTCCTTTTAAAAATGAGGCAGAGAGGGGTGTGTCAATGGCTAAACCATTTCCCATTAAATAAATCCCTACAACTAGTTTGCTGACATGCTGGAGCAAAAAGGAGGAGAAGGTGAAATGGAGAGGATGGGTTAGGTATTGCACCTCCATCGTTCCCTTTGCACTGTGCAGCTGCTCAGTGGACATCTCTGTCTTGTGGCAGCTGATGCTTCCAAGGCGTTGGTCAGCACCGAGCATGTCCTGCTTCTCCAGAGCCTGTGCCTGAGGCCAGGCAGCTCATCCCCGCTAGGGGACGTGAGTAATCTTCAAGTTGTTTGTGGTTGAGACGCTGAGGGAGTATTTGTCTCGGGGATCTCAGAGTTCCTGCCACGGTGACGATGCCAGTAGGCGCAATAGTAGGTAGCAGTGTCATCTGGAATGACATCAATTATTGTAAGAATACACAGTTTCTGTCTTGAATCTTTTTCAACCCTGTACCTGTGTGATTGGAAGCCCGCATCTACTACTTTTGTCACTTTAAAGTAGAGAATTCTCTGTGGACCATTATTCGCCTTCTGTTGATACCAGTGTATGAAGGTATCATCAAAATCTCCAGAGAAGTCTTTGAAATGACATTGCAGGCGGACAGTCCCTTTAGACTTGGTGATGGACAGAGGGCTCTGCATGGGAATTTCTTGTGCAAATCCATCTAGGAAACAAAAAGTGGAGAAATGATGCCATCAGGTGGAATTCAGGGCTTTGTGAAGATGCCTGTTAGCAGAGCCCTGTGTGCCTGTGAGGAAAGGTAAGGAAGTAAGGAAGGACTTACAAGACCAAGCGGCGGTGGCCACAAGCGCTGCCAGCAGCAGCATGTCTGCTGTCGTTGAGAGTCAGAGGAGTGTGAAAGGGACCGGAGATGGGGACAGTGTTGTGTGGGAGGAGCAGATGACTCTCTTGAGGAGCTTTCAGCAGCGGATCTTCGGTGCATAAGCAGATGGGGCACATTTGCAGAAAACCCTCTCCAGGATGGCAAATGCCAGGAAAGCCTGTGAGTGAGATCGGCTCCAGCCGTCTATCGGTGTGTGAAGGTTTCAGCCCGGAGGTCACCCCGGTGGGTGGTGAGTGTGTGCCTTCACCCAGAGGGGTGTGGAGAGGTGTACAGTGTCCAAGCGGGCAGGAGGCATTTCCCCATCCCCTCAGGGACCTTCTTTTGCTGCTTCAGCTTAATCACATGGCTGTGGCACGCTGAAGGGCCTGGGATGCCCCTGTGCTGGTGCTGCCCTCCACCGAAGCAGCTTGATGCCACCATCCTGCAGCAACGGGGGCAGCTGCACCACAGGGTTGTGCCTCCGCTTTGGTTTTGAGTGTGGCAGGAAACGCACAGCCGCAGGATTTCAGTTTTGAAGCTCAGATGAGACGCAAACACCTCCTGGAGGGAAGACTGGAAAAACCTAAGCGAGCCCTGTGAAGGCTGCTGTCAGCAGCCAGAGCAGAGGGGCATCTTGATGAGCGGGGCTGGTGCTGCAGGACGCTCCCCCGTGACTGGTGAGCCAGTGCTGCAGCTCGCTTGGTGCGAGGGAGATGAGCTGCTTTGGCCTCCCTCCTGCTGACAGTCAGCCACGTGCAATAAGCCGATGGTAAGTACATGTTGCTAACGGGTTTGGAAAGGTGCCTGTGAGCGCAGGGCTCCACGGAGAGGCAGGCAAGGAGAGACACCTGCCTCTGTGTGGTGGCAATGGAAGGGACCCTCGTCTTCTCAATAAGTCACCGTGGGAAAGTCTACTTCATTTTCTGTCCAGCCACCCTGAGGGCAGTGAGGAGGAGCAATGTCTTAATGACTCTCAGGTAGAACAAAATGACTAGGCGGTGAGTGATAGCAAAGTGACGAGGAAGAAAGAAATATGAAACAGACTTGAAGGTGAAGGGAGGAGCAGCAAGGAAAAGGTCACTCGTCCCAGCAGCATCCCATGATAGTCTCCTGCCTGGGCAACTATAGTTAATCAGAATAAAAACTGTGTTGGTATTGTATGTTGCGGACCTGAAATGAAGCCCCTGTTGCCAAAACCTACCAGGACGTGTATAAAACTGTAGCAGTACACTACAGTTGTTCTGGTCACACAAGCAGAAACGTGTCAGGCACCTGATCCCAGATGAAGATGAAAGGAATATGGTAGCGACTGGGTCTCACACAGTTAAATGTGTAAATTACAGAGACTGTCTAGGTTTTGTACGGGAGCTTTCTAACACAGCAAGGAATTACAGATCAAACGTGACGGTGTCTATGCCAAGAGGACACTGGCAGGAGCTGGAGTATTCTTCAAGCAAATACCTCTCCAGGTTCACATTATCACCAAAGAGGCTTGTCACTGATGAAATGGTCAACATCCACTTTGCAGATAGCTTCATTACCTAAAGCTATCTAAGGAGCCCCTTTGTAAGGCCATGCTGACTATTCACAACCACCTTCGTGTGTCTGGAAATGGTTTCCAGGATTAGTTGCTCCCTCATCTTCCCAGCGATTCAGATGGCCGTAGTTCCCCAGGTCTTCCTTCTTGCCTTTCTTGAAGATAGGAGTGACATTTGCTTTCTTCTTCTCTTTAGGAACCTGTATGGATTGCTGTGACCTTTCAAAGAGAAGGGAGTGGGGCTTTGCAAAGGCATTGGCCAGCTGCCTCAGGACTTGTTGGAGCATCCCATCAGGTGCCATGGACATACTTATGTTCAGTTTAAGAGCTCACTAACTTGGTCTTCCTCCGCCAAGGGTTTGTCTCTCTTGCTCCAGTCTTCCCCTCTGGTTCCAGGTGCCTGGGGTTCCTACAAGCTGGTCTTACAGGTGAATACTGAGGCAAAGGAAACATTGAGTACCTTGATCTTTTCCATGTCATTAACCACCAGTTTCCCTGCCTTATAAAGCGGCTTTCCCTAGTCTTTCTTTTGCTGCTGCTGATGGACTTGTAGAATCCTTTCTCATTCCCTTTTACATCCTTTGTCAAATGCAACTGCATCCAGGCTTTTGCCTTCCTAAACGCATCCCTGCATGGTCCAACAGCAGCTCCATACTCCTGCTGGGTCACCTGCCCTCCTGCATCTCTACTTGCCAGGGGCATAGCACGTGGCTGAGGATTTCAGTTCTTGTCCTGGACACATAAGGTGAGAAACTATGACCATAAACCTGGGTTTTCTGGGCTGTTGTAGGAATATGTGGTGACTGAAATGTAAAGGAAGGCAAAAGAAAGATGTGAAGGAGGGTGTGCAAGATCATCTGGCCTTCTCTCCTTCTTTTATATTCATGTCTCTTTTTGTGAGAGAAAGGCCTGCAGGGATGGTGATACTGCTTGCTCCAAGGATCCTAACAGAGAAGAGAAATGTACAGCTCATATTTGTTCACACACACAGACAGGCCATGAGTGCTTTCAGTACAATCAAGCCTTCATCTTAAGAGCAAAGTTCAATATATTTTTACGCTCAAGTGACTGGGGCTATCCAGTTTCTGGATGTTACAGATGTGTGTGAGTACTGAAACGATACACTGATTGTTAACGTCATCTATTTAGCAGTTGTCATGTTATATTGCTCTTGTTCTTATGCTGTTGCATAAAATCATGAGAGAGGGGTTGAGGAGGGAAGTACCTGCATTTTGGCAGAGTTCAGAGTTTGCGGTTCAGAGTGCCAACCAAGTGCTTTTTTGTACGGCTTATCTTTGCCCATCTAACACTGTGATGCCTTGATAAAACCAATGTGCACAGTAGTAAGTGCCAGAATCCCTCGGGGTTAAATAATCTATCGTGAGACCGTAGAGAGGCTCAGTAGGGTGCTTCCGAACTTGAAATCTCCCTGTATCATGGCTATCATCAAAAGTAGGTGACTGTCCCGACACATACAGGATCCTCTTTGGCGGCTGGCCGGGAGGCTGCTTGTACCAGTGCACGACATCTTCGGCGCTCATTCGGCATGCCAGGCTGGCAGAGCTGCCACTCACCTTCCACTGCAGCTCTGGGGTTTGCACCGGCACTGCCTGCGCGTCTCCACCTGCAAGGGGAAGCGGAGAAATTGTGTGAGGGGAAGAAACCCTGTGAGTTTGGAGCCAGGACCAGGTTCTGCGCACACGGGAAGGAGAAGGGAGAGGAAAAAGGTCTTACAGGACCACAACGAAGTTGCAAGAAGGACTGGAAGCAGCATCATGCTGCCTGTGCGGGTTAAACCTGGAAATGAAATAAATACAGACAGGAAGGTTACAAAGCCCTTCAGGTGGAGAAAGCGTCAAATCACTGGCAGGAGGAAATGACTCATTTGGCATATCCAATGGTCGTTCTTCAACCTGCTACCGTGGACTGGGTTAAATTTACTGCCAAGCTAAAGCACAGCAGTAATGGTGTACAAAGGACTAAAATACTTAATTTGAAATAATTCCTCTTCATCTATCCATCTATCCACTATGTTCCTCTCAGACTTACCTGCTGAGCACACACATAAAACCTCCAGTTGTTCAATCTCTCCCCTCCCAGGGATGTTCTCCTCTCCTCAGACATCCCAAAGCCATCCCAGAAGCACGTTTCACCAGACCTTCCTAGAACATACTGTTACAATGAAAGAACAACAAAAAATCATAAGTTCACTGTCTTGGTACTTTTTCTATATTATCTTGGTACTTTTATTAATAGTCACATTTATTGTGAAAGCCAGAGAGGAAGGTCTCTTCCAAGGCTAAACCAAAACTGCCAGAAGAACCTGCAGCGATGACATTTTCAGAGAAGATGTCTGGCCCTGTAGGAACATAGGTAATGACCCTCAGATGGGGGATGGACTGCCACAGAGGAGATGAATTGATGCGCTCGAGGGGTAACAGGCACAAACCTGAACATAGGAAGTTCCATCTTAATGTGAGGAGGAACTTCTTTACTTTGAGGGTAGTGGACCACGGGCACAGGCTGCCCAGAGAGCCTGCAGAGTCTCCCACTCTGGAGACATTCAAAACCCGCCTGGACACCGTCCTGTGCAACCTGTTGTAGGTGACCCTGCTCTGGTGTGGGGGGGGGGTTAGACTAGCTGATCTCCAGAGGTCCCTTCCAACCCTGACCATTCTGTGATTCTGTGATTGTGTGAGTTGTATGAAACACAAGGACATGGGATTGAGAATACCATTGCCACTTAAGTTAAATTTCGCTGTAGCTCTGCTCCCAGCTGTCAGGCTGAGCAGTGCTGTGTCACCATTTCCATAGGTTCCGTGCTCTAGGTTGAAGCTTTCTCTTGTAATTGGTCTTCACAATCCTTTCTTGGGGCCACCTTTTCAGGTGTTGCCCAGTGGAACACATCCTTGCCTATAACAAGGGGTCCTAAGGGGTATCAGCTTTATCAGCAGTCATCACCATCATAACCATTGAGATAGGAGTGACCAGGGATGAGTGCTCCTTTTCCCCAGCACAGCACATTATACCAGCTGAGTTGGAGCATGCTGCATTTCCTTGCTGTTCTCTTTATCCTTTCTTTATGCTTGCATAGTCAGCAGAAACCCGTGGGGATGGTTTAGAGACAGGAAAGCGCAATTCTGGTTCTGTGCATCTGGCGGAAGGCCTGCCGCGGAGGGCACTGGCAGCTTTCTGTACATGCTGCCTGTGGTCTGCTCGTGCTGTGGGACTGCCAGTAGGCACAGTAGTAGGTACCTTCATCGTTGGAGTTGACGTCATTGACTGAGAAAGTGCAGACTTTTGTACTTTTGAAAGAAGTATACTTGTTCTTGTAGGAATCATCATCGTAAGTAACTTGTCCTGGTCCAATATACAGAATCCGTTCGGGACCTTTGTGGGGTATATGTCGGTACCAATGTATATACACAGACTGGAGGTCAGATATGCCCTCGGCTACACAGTCAATCCATGCAGTTTTCGTTTGCCCTGTGGTAACAGACACTTGCTTCTGCTTTAGAAGCACTTGTGCTTGTCCATCTAGAAAGAAGGAGAGAAAACAGAACAAGCACTCTTAGCCTGCTATTCATTCACACTCGTAAATACGGGGTGCCTCCCGCCACTGCCCCGTGCCATGCCATGGTGACACGGGGAACCTACGAGACCAGGCTGCAGCCAGGGCCAGGAGCGGGAGCAGCAGCATCCTGAGGGCTCTTGCTGGCATCTGCCTGCAAGAGGAAGGCTACAGCTCTGCCGGCAGGGATGGAGGGCTGCAGCTGAGCAAAGGAAATGACTCACTGGGGCATCGTCTGGCGAGGCTGTCGTCAGCAGCAAAAGCCACTTGACTGAACCCTGCTAAATGTTATCAGCCTGATTATGGCCTTACACAAGTGGCACAAACTCACCTACTCTCTCTCTCTCATGCACACACACACACTTACTTTAACTTGTTTACAGAGTAATTTTATAGTCTGAAGCAAATTTTACCCCTGCTTTTACACTAGTTGAAGTCTGCCAAACAATGCCGGAGGTCAGATGCTTTTTCTCAGTTCCATGTGCAATCAAAGGGAAAAAAAATCAAGACACAGAGCTTAATGAATTTGAGGGCTTTCAAATTACTGCCCACCACACAAGTTGAGTGCCAAAGGCCAGGAAAATACACAGCAGCCATTTGGGAGCTCAGAAGAAGTATTGCTGCACTTGTGCCTGCTTCTTGTCACAGGTAAGGCGAGATGCTACACCCCAGGGTGGCATGTCCAAATGCTGGGTGTTCCACAAAGAGGCACAAACACATTAGAGCTCCCCCAGGTTTAGTTTAAAACAAAGATGAATAGGGCAAGCAAAATATAGAAATTATCCTGTGCAATGCAAACTTGT